AGGTCTAGTTGTTCATGATTCAATCAAATTGAAGTATTGAAAAAATGGCGATACACTTGTAGTGGTCAAATTAATATATTTTAAATACTCACTAGCTATCTTAAATAGGGAAGATAAAAAAACAAAAATAGGATTAAAGATGAAAAGTAAAACATCTGTTCCAAATATAAGAGCTAGTTAGGGTTTGAATTTGGTCCTATAATTCATTATGCAAGTAAAAAGGTTTTCATCTAAAGGTAGTTATGATTACATGGTATTTTAGAAAAATTAACCATACTTATTATTAATAACTAACTTAACTAAATTTATTAATTTATTCAAATTAGTTAAATAACTCTTATATTAAAGATTCAAGTAGCAATTTTTTTTTTTTGCAATTTAAAAACTAATATGAAAATAATTATGAGATGTAATATTTGGATAATTTATATATTTTTTTTTCATTTCTTGAATTTATTTTTTGAAAGATAATCTTTTCTTGCATATTTTTTAGTTAACATTGTTTGAGGTGGTTTGAATATATGCAGAAAAGGTCATGTGAGCCACAAGTGAGAAGGATAGATCATATAATTTGGAGTCTTTTTGAAATGAATAAAAAAATTGAAAAGAATACTCAATGAGGTCATTAATCAGTACTTTTTGGTTCATAATTTGGAGTCCTTTTGAAATGGATATGACTTCTTGTTATTTTATAATTTTTTGATTAGGTTTTCATAATTTTCTCAGTTATAGATGTTACCTCTATGGTTAAAATCTGTTTATTTCAGTATGATAGTGTTAACGATTGTTGAGAAAACTATAAGAATCCAATACAAAGGACAAAAATACAAAAACTTGATTAAAAAAGGGGTTATACAAATTGTGTCTTTTTAATTTGCTTTTATTTTAATTTTAATCTCTCAAATTTCTTTTGATTTAAAATATTAGTTCCTATATTCCAATAAAAACTTAGACCATTTTGCCCATTAAGGGGTTAAAATATGTGGTTTGAAATTTCAGAGACCAAAACCAAAATGAAGATAAATTTAAGAGATCAGATATTATATTAACCCTTAAAAATAGATGAAACTATAGTGATAGGGGATAATCGGCAGAATGAGCACATTAACAATCACCATTATCAATATGCATGTTATACCATCATGAGCATGATATGATTGATCAACTTCATGGTGTGGAAAATAAAATACGTTCACCCCTTGAAGATGTGAAAGATGCCATTGATGACATCCAAAGCTTCATTTGATCGGTCACCATCAAATTGAGGAAGATAAGATAAGTCAGATGGAAAGCAAGAAACTACTGATCATATTGATAAAATTTTTCAAAAATCTCATAGGGACACTGAGGACCTGTTTGATTTTGAAGGGAGGGTAGAAGAGGGAGAAAAGGGCGGAGTGGGAAAGGTCTTAACATTACTATGTTAGTTTGATTAAAAAAGAAGGGAAGAAGGGATATTTAATGATCTATTCTTTGATTCAAGAGAGGGAGGAGAGGAACAATAATAATAATCAATTTACTATGTTACCTTTACGTGTTAGTTTATATTTTATTTATATATGATATAAATTAATTTACATTTTAATTCAAGTTACATAATTCAATGAAAATTTGGTCTTATCATATTAATGTGTATTTAAAATCGGTAGAATAATTTTTTATTCTAGTTAATATAATAACATATTTTAAATAATGAAATTAAAAAAATTTCATATGCTTTAAAAATGAATTTTTCTCCAGCCTTAAAATATATTTTAATTAATAAAATAATATATTTGTAAAAAATATTTAACTTTATAATAATAATTTTTATTTTAAATTAATTTTTATTATAATATTTTTTATCATAAATTTTTTTTAATGTTGAGTGAAGGAGTAAATTTATCTATTATAATAGTAAAAAAAAGCATCAGTATCATAATAAAATGTCGAGAGGAAACAGAGTAAACAAAAAATCCAAGTCAACTGAATCTCCCTTTCTCTCTCCCCCTCTCACGAGTCTCGCCACCCCTTCTCCTCTCTTCTTCACAATACAGAGTGGAAGAAAAGTACACACTCTCTTCGTCGAGGCTTGCTTCGCTTCGCCCTCCCCCTTCCTCCTTCCTCTTTGACTCCTCTCGTCCGCCCTCCCTCTCACCAACGGACACCACTATAAACTCCTCCAAGACTCACTCTGCTGAGACTCGATTTGCTAGGTCTCTTCCTTCACTTTGTCATTTCTTGACTCCCCAGTGCTTCTCTCTAACATCAAGGTTAGCTCTGGTTCTTTCTTTAGTTTTTTTTTCCCCTTATGGTTTTCCCCTTTGGCTTGATAATGCAGTGCGTGTGTGGGGTATACTGAAAACCTTTTTAGCTTTGTTTGGTCACTGAGAATAATAACAAGAAAGTAAAGTCATGAACGTGAAGTGTTTATCCAGCTCAATGAGATCAAGGATAGTGCTGCACTATTTTTAAGTTGACTCCAGTGAAATAAAGGCCTCACATAACGAGTGGCATTTGGAGAATATGTTATTTTCTGGACAATTTTTCTGCTTGTACTCTACGGCCAAACAGATCCATGACTTACTTTGCTAGGTTCTAATTGTTCTCCCGCAAGCTTTTCCTGGAAGAGGGGGGAGGGAGACAGCGAGAGGGAGAGGCAGACTAAGTTGACTTCGAGTGAGGGAAGTGGAGGGCCTAAAGGTAGACGCGTACATTTGGTGGGGACCCAAAAATAAAAAACCGATGGATAATTTATTTTTTTTATTTTTTATTTGCAATAAATTTTATAATAATGTCTCTTATGGCCATTAATGAAATATAACAAAAGAATATAATAGTAAAAGGACAAAAAAATTTAGCTTTCCTCCAAAAACACTCCAATTTAGGGAAGTTCGAATGAGGGTAGGGGTAGGGATAGCGGAAAGGGGGCCCTTCAAAATTTAAATTAATCCATGCATATACAGGATCACAATGAAATATGGTAATGATTGGTCCAATTAATAAGAAATTAATTCATAACCCACAAGGGATCACTGATTCAAATCCCACTACTAATGTTTTTGGAGGAACCGCGAGTAGCTATGTACCTGGGCATGATTGAAGCCTACCATAAATTTTATAATTATTAAGATTTTCGCGCTTTTCCTCCCCCACTCCTCACTGTTAGCCCATCCCCGCTTTACCCCTACTGTCCTCTTTGGGCCGCCAGGTTTCTCGGCTAACGAAAACAATAAATATTCCGGAGGTGAGAAGGAATGAACACCTTACCAAGTCCACGGAAGGAGGATGGAAACCTGTTTCTTTTCCTCGCTCCTTCGCCTTCTTTATAACTATCCCTAGATTTTTGGAAAGAGACAAGAAGAATTCAGTCAAAGAAGCCACAGCCAGGATCACTTTTCACTTCCTTTCCCCCAACACAATAAACAGGCTCACGCGAATGGGGAAGATTTATCTCAAGGAAGTAGAGAAACAGCTGCACTCATTCGCCTTTTATTTTGCTTTACATAAAACCAACACAATAGCAGAAATTGTAGAAAAATAGCAAATATATTTAGGCCAATTCCGAAAGAATCGTTGAGGAAAATTTGATATAAAAAAAAAAAAGAAAAGAAAAATTGGAAAGAGACAAGTGGGGGTCCAGCAGACGCGAGTCTCGTAGCTTAACAAAATAAATGCGTAGAACCACCATCACTAAGCTAAATTAAGCAATTAACTCTAATCCCAGCCGAAATCCTCAATTCAATACGCCGCTACCTATAGAAAACTCTTGCTGTCGCTCAAAATTTGCCCTGCCAAGGATGTGCTTCTATCTCTATTGCGCTTTCACTTCCTGACGTGCAGCTCTTCCACCGTTTTGATAGGGCCTGGGCACAGTTTCTCCATTGCGTGCTCGAGGTCTACCTGAGAACTCACCTCGCTTTTCACCATCATTCCTACCATAACCACGACCACCACCAAAATTGCCACGGCCCCTATAGTTATCATTTCGGAATCCACCCCGTCCTGATGAATATTTCACTCTATCGCTGTTAGCTGCAGGAACCAAAATATTGGCATTAGGGAACATTTTCACCACGGAAAGAAAAATACAGCTACAAAATTTTCAAAAGCAACATGTGCAGGTGGTAAGACTGAAAAAAAGTGCACAAAATGCAAGTGCATCACACGATCCCTCAAGCAAGAAAATCCCAATTTCAATATATTAAGAACTTGAAGGTGAAAAGTCAGCAAGACTATACAGGAACACATTAAGTGCATAAAATATGAGCATTTAGTTAGTATCATCAGTAAAAACCGCCAAATGATTTTCATAAACAGGTGCAGGTTGGATAGAGCATGTTCACTTGCCTCGCCTTTCTTCAATAGAAAGTTTGCGATTGTCCAATATGATAGGAGTAGCCTGACACAGCGAGTGTTAAGTATTAGGGGGCAACCATTAAATAAACAAATACTAAAAGCTTAAGCACCAAACATGCAAAAATCATAACAAAACAGCAAAAGCAATATGTTCTTCAATATCCATTTTATTTATTCATCAAAAAAATCATACTACTCAGAGATCAAGAATTGGATACATGTCAATACCTCAAGTGCGCTATGCATTGAACTAGCCGATTCAAATTCCACAAAACCAAAACAAGATGCCTGTTGCTGGAGAGAAGAATTTGACAATTTATAAACACCACACTACATTGAAGTGAATCTAATAAACTGAATCTCACAACAGCTTAACTAAGAGACTTTAACTAACCTTGTTGCTTCTGACTTGAATCCCATCAGGTTTAATGGGCCCAAATTTCTTGAATTCCCGTTCAAGTTGTTCTACTGTTGCGTTCATTGGCAAATTCGCCACAAATATTGCATAAGCCTTGCCTATGAAAAGTAAATTACAGAGTTAAAAACATTATGATAACATCAATACAAGATTTACAATAGACCCTGATTATACATACAAGAAATAAATAAAAGGATACAACACCTGCATTATCATTATTCTTTTCTGGTGCAGGATTACTGCTGGGAGCTGGTGCTTCAGGAACTGGAGTGCTAGAAACACGTGGTTGTTCAGCAGGCTTTGCTGGTGATGTCCTTACATGGAATGGAGCAGCATTATCTTTCAAAGCATTCACCTAGCACCCAAGATAATAACAAACCATCAGTCACAACACAAGAATAAAGAATTAACAAAAATTAATACAAGTGAATAAATAGGACTCACAATGGATGCAAAGGACTTCTTTGGAGCATCCTCCTGGGCGTTAGTTGCAGGCTTCTCAACGACTGGTTGACTTTCCTGCTGACTTGACTCCTTCACAGTATCAGAATCCACCACCTTTTCATTTACTGATAACTCCCCGTTATCTAATTGTTCATTCCCTTCTTTCTTGGCATTAACATCAGTCTCCACAACAGCAGCTTGGCTCGGTGGAATGTTTTCAGGAACATGAGTGGGCTCTGCATTTACAAGCGACATTTTGAGCCCAAAACATTTACCAAGTTAAGGAGTTGAGAAAGCAGACAAGTGACAAGAACAGATACATTGATGAAACCAACTGACACAAAAATTACCAGGTTCTGGGGTGAAAGAAGCTGCTGGGGCACTTTCATCAGCATCATTTACAGGCACAGAACGAGAGTCAACAGACTTGTGGTCATCAAGATATCTAAACACATCATTCAGAACAAAGTAGCCTTTGTCCTGTGGGGCTAGAAAGAATGACTGGGTAAACTTCCTTTTCAGATCATCATCTCCAGTTAAGCAGCCGGTCACCACAACCATCACCCCCTCCTTATATGATAGCTGAGCATCTGCACTCAGAATCTCCACCCTAAAGCTCGTATAATCTAAAGAGAGGATCTTCTTGTTAATGCCCTGTCCAACATGAAGCAGATCATATTAGCAACTACAAACAAGATTACTTGTTGCAGTAAATGAGAAATTTGAACACAAAAGCAGAATATGTTCAAACAGCTATCACTTTTTATATATCAAGATTATAGTAAATGACAATCAAAATTGCCTTCCTCATATTCTTAAGTGGACAACAATGACTACTAAAAAATGAGATGAATGAATTCATTCAAAGTATGTCCATGTTTCATGATCACCCGGTAAATTGCATAAGTACCGAAGAGTGACACAAACAACAAAGCTAATATGACATTGCTGAGTGAAGCTTGGACTGTAATTATCCATGCTCTAGGCTATTCATACCTCGTCCCCAAATACGTAAGTTTACTTAATCAGTATATTTACTTGATCAGTATATAAACATGACCGTTTATTCTCTTATTATGTTACAGTAATCACACCAGGTTATTTACCACCAGAGATCAAATAAGATTTCAAAGAGAGAAGTTGGAGACATATAATCATTATAATCATAAAATCATGATAGGCATCATTACTTGCAACTTTAATTTCCTTAGAATGAAGCATATCGAATCATATACTTAAGAAATAAATTAATAGTTTAAAAACCCCTCGAGGGAGATGAATATACTTAAAAAATTTTAAAAAATGGGGAGAGTTATCTTGATTCAAGTACATCCAGCTCTATAATATCTTCAATTTTCTCACATCTGACCTGTGATTAAATTTGTCTGTCTCTTTGACAGAAGAAAAAAATAAAAAATCTGTCTATATAACTATTGATTTATAATTAATTATTTATGGTGGTTTTATTAAATTTAATTAAAATGCTTGCGCGGAATTCCACTTGTTGAAGCAAACCATCACGCATTAAATCAAGGAAACATGCTTACATCGATAGTGGTCACCAAGCTCATACTACCATCTTCTTCAGGTCGGCTTAGGACACTATTCTCATGATAAAATCTGTAAACTAGGTGTGGTTGTTGATGAAGAATAGAGTAATACTGCTCCACAAAAGCATTGCCCACCATCTGTGGAGTTGGGACCTCATCTGCTGCCGCCATCTCAGCTAAAAGACAAAAGAGGCGCATATAAGAATATACCAAACACATCACGTTTCATAAAATTAAATTCTTCGCCGTAGAAAACGACGACATTGATTTAAAAGAAAAAGAAACTCTTGATTCAGGGTGTTAACAAAAGCAATGCTGTTACAAGAAGCACTCCATCACTGCAATTCATATCACTTAGAAACCTACAACACGACAGTCACCAAATTATGCACGTTTATATACTAGACAGCATTGGGAGAATAAATGCCTTTACACTCAACAGTGTACCTGCCCTTGAATAAAGCCAAGAGGAAATAAATAACGTTACATACTTCAGTTTGCAAAGCATATCAAACATAACAGAAGCAAACGCAAGGGACTAACAACTCAACCCAAACCCAAGATCTTGGGCCGACTTAAAAATGTCCACAGCTAAAGAGCAAGAAACAATGATAAAACGTACACAAACATATGAATATCAAGAATAACACAGACTTCGGATAAAAAAAGGCCAGTATATAATATGAATCGAATGGAAAACCTCCTGCTGTAATCAAGACAAATACGAATCGAAAACCTGACCCAACCAAAAGAGAAGATGTACCTCAAACGAAGAGATCGGGATCTCAGAGAGAGAGAGAAGGAAGAGCCGGTGAGAGCGAACCCCGAAAAGGGATCGGGGCGCGGAGAAGAAGGAAGAGAGGGAAGGCGGAGGAGGCGGTGGGTCAATGAAGGTTTTTTCCCTTCGATCCCCAGTCCCTCGGAAGGGCTTTAGTTTTAGGGCTAGTTTTGAGATATTGTGATGTGATTCTCTAGCTGGGCCCACAGTTAGTCTCCTAAACGACGGCGTTTTCGAAAGGGCAAGGTGTGTTTTGCGGCGATCGCAAGGCCACGAGGTGGACGTTGCGCTTTATTTATAAACGATGATCTGAACGAATCAGATACTTAAATGAGATTAGGATAGGATAAATGATCTTCTATGCGAGTGGGGATATATACTAATTGAACAAAATCAAAACTAGGAATATTATGATATCTAAATTTATTAATTTGTTATTTTAATTTGTTAGTTGATTGATCATAACATAATGAAAGAATATGAATATTATTATGACTATTTTCAGTAGAAAGATATCCGTACAAAATTAAAAGCAAATACCAACAATTAAAGATTTCATTGATTGGAAGGCGAATCAAATATGAAAAGATTTGATTACTTATTTGAATTATTGGGATCAATTTTGATGCGGCAATTTAGAACTTGATTAATTAAATTACTTAGTTAGTACTTGACATATATTTTAATGAGAAAATCTCAATTAAATTCAGTGAAAATATTTATATTTAAATTGAGGCCAATGCTTTTAACAAATTCTTAATAAGAACGAAAAGCCTAATTTGAAATTTATAAATGCTGTTAAATGATCCGAATGTCCCTTTCTAATTAAAAAGGAAAATTATTGTTTTACCCCTCCCAAGGGCCCCTTATCTCTTATTGTTAATTTTAAGACCAAAAAACATATAAATAAATTTTTAACGTTTAAAATTTTGTATATATAAATAGAACCTTTGAAAATATTTTAAATGAAAACATAAGTAATCTTTAAATAAATATTTTTTCAGGTTGTAACTATTATTTTAATATTTTAAAATATTTTAATTACATTTTTTAGTTGTGTTCAACATTGCATAAATCAATAAAACTAAAGTAAATTATAAGAACTGAAAATAAAAAAATTATTTAAAAGCTAATTATATTTGTAATTAAATTTTTTTAAAAATTTTTAGTTATATATACAAATTTTAAGCACCAAAATTTACTTATATGTTTCTTGATCTCAAAAAATAATCATAAAAAAATGAGGGAATGCTTGAGAAGGATAAAATTATCAATTTTTTTAATTAATGAGGAGCATTGTGGCCGTTTAACAATATTCAAAAATTCTTTCTTAGGTCTCATGACTTGATTAGAAATTTATTAAAAATATAGATTTGAATTTGAATTTAGATATTTTAATTGGAATTCTCCCTATTTTGATTTGGTATTGTTGTTAAATATTTTAAATTATAGTTCACGAGCTTTATATATTATGTTGAAAAAAAAGGAGCTTTATATGTTAATTCATAATTTTAATCTAATAAATATTAATTAAGTTTTTCTAACAAAAAATTAGATTAAGTTTTTTTTGGAGGAGAATCCCAATTAAATCCAATTAAAATAACTAAATCCAAATTTGGGCTTACGCATTTAACAAATTCCTAATTAGGTCATGAGACATCATTAGGAATTTTTAGATATTGTTAAATGATCAAAATGCTCCTTTTTAATTAAAAAAAATTGATTGCTTTACCCCTCTCAAATGATCCCTCTTTTCTCTTATGATTATCTTTTAGGACTAAAAATACAGAAATAATTTTATACTGTTTGAAATTTGTACGTATAACTAAAACCTTTAAAATATTTAATCAAACCTTTTAAATTATAATACAAGTACCCTTCAAATAAATATTTTTTATTTTCATGCTGTGAAAATTTATTTTTAAGATTTTAAAATATCTTAATTACAAAAAATATTTTATATTAAATTGTTACAAATTACACTTCAGGGTTGGAATTCAAAGTTTTGATAAATAAATAAAACTAATCTAAACTATAAGAACATAATATTAAATATTTTTTCAATTGAAATATTTTAAGATCTCAAATTAAATATCTACGAACATAAAATAAAAATATTTACTTTAAGGCTATTTACGTTTTATTAAAATATTTTTGAAGATTTTAGTTATATATACAAATTTTAAATACTATAAAAAATTTTATGAGTTTTTGGTTCTAAAAATGATCATAAGAAGAAAGAGATTACTTTGAGAAATAAAGTAATCAATCTCTTATTTTAGAGTAAAACATATCAACCCCTCTTCTATTTAACGCAAATTACAAAGACCTCCTTTTGATTTTGAAAACTTATATGGATCTTTCTTAAAATCAAAATATATATTGCACAAACCTTTTTTCTAGTTTTGAGATTCAACTCTCATCCACCTATCTGTTAGTTGACCTTTAAATCATAGGATTGACCCATTATCTTGACCAAATTGTCCCTTCTTAATACAAATATTACTTAATAATTATCATTAATAACACATCATACATCTTTATTTGAAATTAAAAAATAATTTTAATAAATATTTTAATATTTTTGCTATACTATTGAACTGATTACCATAGCATAAATTCTATTAATTTTATAAATACAAATTTTTATTTTACAATAAATCTTGTTTATTTATTTAAACTTACTTGTGATGTAATTTTTTAAATATATATTAGTAAAAAAAATTTTGTGATTGTATATATATTTTTTCAATAAAATTATAAAGTTATGTTTTAATTATTAAATTTAGTAAAAATATTAAATAGATTATTAATAAATATTAATATTAAAAGATAGACTATATAATTAAAATAATGAGGGGTAAAGAAGGAAACAAGGTTTATTCTAATAATTTTTAATTAAAAAATGTATGCCAACAATTTTTTCAGAATATTCCTTAACGGTGTTAATGGTTTGGACTAAAATATATGTCATCAAAATAGAAGGGAGATCCGTGTAATTAAGATAAAACAGAAGAGAGGTCAGAGTATTTTACTTTTTATTTTAATTAAAAAGAGGTATTCTGGTCATTTAAGAACATTCATAAATCTAAAATTAGAATTCATGTCCAAATTAGGGATTTAGTAAAAGCAAAGGCCTTAATTTAGATTTAGATATTTCAACCGAATTTTATTAGAATTTTCCTTTTGCACAAGAATTTAAGTATATTAATCAACGACAACATATATGTGTGTGTATAGAGTTTGATTCGTTCATTTATACGCCCATTCGTTATACATATGCTAATAATTACTCTTTTTGTTTTGTTTTTGAACAACTTAAATTCGATCATTTATTTTTATTTAGGAAAAACTAATATGAATGTTCTTACATTTTTATTCAGTTTTGAACCAGGTCCTTCAACGTTTTTTTTTTTAATTGAATCCTTTAATTTGTGCTGTTAGATTTATTAGTTCTACCGTTAAACAGGGATAAACACTGTTAAAAATTTCTGTTATCTTCCCATTCCCGACCTCATTGTTTTCTCCCACTTCTTCGGCCATGTCTTGTCTCTGTAATAGCAAGAAGGCTCACGTCTCTGATTATGCCGGTCCATGTACGAAGCTGGTTCATTAAACTCATGAAAACCTTGAAATTTCAGCTGCATCCCCCATTTGTTTATATAGGAAAATGGGTCAGTCTATCCTTGGTGGATTGGACCCAAGCCCATTAACTTTGGAGCTCTAATGCAAATAACATAACCTGTAGATCTCAAATGATGATTTGCAATTTTTCTTCAAATTATGGATAAGGACAAACAGGGGCAGAAGTTTTATTTTAAGATATAGAATCAGTTTGAGAAACTGATTTTTTTACCGGCTTGCTTTCTTCCCGCCCGTATTCTCTCTTCTCACTCTCAAACAAAATGCATTTGCTGTGAACATCCATTCCGACTCCATTACCGTGATCGGAATTCCACGCATGGCTATCTAAATCTGAGATTACTTGACACTTCAGGTATGCCGAACACCATGAGTTTATTTGATATATTTCTTCATCTCTCACACTTATCCATTTCCCTCACAGAAACTTGCCAACCGATATTCCTCCGCCAATGTTATAAAAGTACATTATGAAGACAATCTTGAAGATGGGAAGGTGGGAGAGATAGGAAAAAGAAATGAATACTGAAAAGAGGAAATAGAGATAAGGAGATCGTGGAGGGAGATCATTTGAAGACTTCAAAATGGGGTTTCTTGAAGAGTAATATTTTTCTTAGATTATATAGAGACCCAATACAAGCCAGGGGGAGCGAGAGAAGGTTGGGGGTTGTCTTACTCTTACTCAGCGATCAGTGATAAACGATTCTTGTGGGATTTTAATGTATACTACCTCCGGTCCTTAATATAAAACTATGTTTGACTTTTATTTTGGTCCTAAATATAGGACCCCAATCCACTTTGTCTCTCATATTTATGTATTTCTAAGATAGTCCTTCTAATAATTGTAGTCCTAGCCAATATAGTTGATTAGTAAGGATATTTTAGGAAAAACAACACCTATTTATTACAAATAACTAATTTAATTTCTTTCCTTAATCTCCTTAAATTAGTCAATTGGATCTTATAATTAGAATCGGAGGTAGTGTTTTTTAGGAGCCTAGTTTGCTTTTCAGGAGTTGTGTGAGAAAAGGATATTAGAATCTAATTGCTGACAAGACAAAAGCAAAGATATTACAGAGAGGTGGGAAAGTTGGGAGAATGACGGGGAGAGTGAAGATGTAACAGAAATTTTAACGGTGTTTGTATTTATTTAACGGCAAGGACTCACAAATTTAACAGCACAAAATTAAAGGACCTAATAAAAAAGAAAAAAAGTTCAAAGACCTTATTCAAAACTGAATATAACTATAGGGAACTCCAAATTAATTTTTCCTTTTATTAAATATCTTGCAAGTTTTAAAATTTTAATGACTATCCTATCCTAATCCCCCAACCCCCAACCCCCACCCCCCAAATTGAAATTGAAATTCTATGAATTTAGCACTCCCCACAATTCTGTCACTCCTCAATTTTTCTATGAAGAGTTTAGCTATGGATTCTTACCACGTTGAGGTTAAATTGAGCAAAGTTTATCCAATAAACACAATCATCCCTATTAATCCTCAATATTTTCCCCTTGACCCTCCAAGTGGATATCAATATTTCAATGTTAGAGTTAACAAGACAGATTGGAAATGGCAAGTTGCAAACGTAGGAGAGTTCTATTCTGAATATACTAGTAGTAGATATGATTTCTTCAATATCTCAAGGAACTCAATGGAGTCAATGATAAGAATAATTCTTCTGTGTCTTGGTATTCCTATAGATGTTTATGATTCTGTGGCTGCAATGATTTTAGATCTTGGGGAAAATATGGCTGATATAACTCACAAAGACCAGAAAATGATGTACCTGGGCATGGATACTCATGTTAATGCTTATTAAGACAATAATAGTAGTGATAACGACCACGACGACAATGATGATGAAGATATAGAAGCATTTATAGTATTACATCCTGCAAGCAAATCATCTATTAAGAGACTGGAAAGCGTAGAGATTAATGAACAAGAAGGTTAGTAAAGAAGTTGTTCGTATGCCTTGCTCACATATGTTTCATAACAATTGTATTATCAATTGGTTGTTGTGTAAGAATAATTATCCATTATGTCGCTTTCAAATACCGTTTAAGTGATAGTTAATAAAACTTAGTTTTATCCCCCCCCCCCCAAATTTAGTGAATCAATTTGTTGATTTATTTATGGATTCAAACGTACGCATAACTGTATCGGGCCTTTTTGTTTAATAGTCTTAAACAATACACGACACAATCTCTGAGAAGGCATACAAAAATCCTTGAGAAAATGACTTCTCAAGAAAAGGAGGTCATCAACACACATTTTTACAAATAAATAATTTAACCAATTTTCTTAACTTATGTGAATAAATTATTTAACTCTCGCATTTAGGATCGGATATGGTACTTAACTTTTACTTCAGTTTTTTAAAATACTATGTGGTACAGTAATGTTGGATTAAATTTAAACATTGACAGATTTAATCAGGGTAAATTTCTCAATGAAATTTTCCACATTCGTACAAACTTGAACTTGAAACTTCATAAGTGGCCATAAACTCTTCCACTTGGATCAACACCCTTTAATTTTTTCAGTTTAAACAATAGACACTCACATATGAACTTGTACGTGATTGCAGCAAAATTAGGTTTTACAGAGACATACGCCTGCAAGCCATTTGAAGAAAAGCATCACAAGAAAAGGATATATTAATCTTAAACTTTGATCAAACCCACGAAACTTTTGCATTATAGGAAACACAGCTCTCACATATCATGATCAGAAAATAATCTATCAAAAGCTCTATAATCCTGTTACCGCAATACTTCTTCATGTTCACTACTGTTTCACGCCTCATCAAGATCCCTCCATCAAGATAAGTTGAACATAAAAAGTCATCTAAAAATTTAAAGTTAGAAGCACCGGGTCCATGCAAAAATTAAAACCATTCTTTAGACATTCACCTGCAAAATGCTCCCATGGTCTGCAAGGATGGATTTAGAACTTCAACCCATGTTTCTCTAACTTCTCTTGAATAATGGCATCAAGTTGTTCCGCCATATCAAACTTAAGAAAATTCTTCCAATCTCCAACTTCTCCACGTCTAAAATAAGCCTTATTTTCAATTCCATGTGGCATTTTCTCACTTTTATTCACTTTCAAATTGCTCAAATTCTCAAAACTACATAGCCTAAATATATCACCCACAATATCATCATCCTCCTCCTCCTTAGAAAAACCATACCCTATGAACCCAGCAAGGTCCTTTAATACCCTATGAGGCTCGCCCTTCATGTCCTCGTATCTCAAAAACATTATTTTATTCGGATTCTCCAAACTTTTCTTGTAGTACTCTAGCATGTGATCCCAAAATGGCCCATAAGGGTCCACTCCTCTGCAATACTGCTCGAACAACTCTTCGATCTTGTTGCTCTCTTGGATTTCTGGTCTTATCATGTTCTGGAAATGCCAGGCAGAGATGAATTGGTCCTTGGGATTTCTGCACAAGTACACTATTTTACATCTCGATAGCTTAATGGACTCCGGCAACAAAACATATGGTAGATGTGTCGCAAAAACCCTTGGAGATGATGAGAACAAGCGCAGATCAGGCTTGGTTTGCCCAGTGTAGAGGGTGGTCTCCAAGGTGCGTACCAAAGCATGAGGGTTGGCAGTGAGGAGAGGGTGAGTAGTGGAAGAGGGCATTCGGGTCGGGTTTGGATTATGGGTCTTGCGGTTAAGAATAGCAAAAGTGAGGGCTTTGAGCCAAGTGGTGCCACACTTCGGTGAAGTGATAAGGAGAATGTCAGAGTCATAGGCTTGAAAATGGTGTTGACAATTAAGAAGTGCTTGAAGTACTGTTTTAGGGAACCAGAAACCTTGATATTGGTAGAGTTTGTGCATAGCCAAATGCCGTTCGGTGGGTAAGGTTGCAATCAGGTCTTTACACTCTTGAGATAGGCCTTCGTTATCTTCATCCCAAAGGAGGGGCAGAGCAGTAGTAGGAAGATTGGAATCGCTAGATTTTTCAGCTACCATGGTAACTATTGTAACTATGAAAGTGAATTTTATCCATGAAAGTGAAGGTAATGAGATTTTATATATGACAGAGGAAAATATCAGAGTGGTGGGGGGTCGCAGTGAGAGAAACTAAGGCCACATAATATATTAGTGGTGGTAGTTTGTAGAACTAAAACAAAATAATGGGACCGCGTCAAATCAATTCAAACATAATTGAAGGACGTATGACTGAGAAAACTTTATTAGTGCGGGTCCGGTCTTGGTGCTCATCAAGTGATGAATGCTCAATTTGGACCGTCTAGATCTAATCTGGATGGTTCAGATTTAATATTTTTAAATAATTATTTTAAATAGAAAAAATTATAAAAATGACTTCTCAAGAAAAAGAAGGTCATTAGAATTTAGAAAACATTTTGAAGGAAAAATACTTTCTCAAACGATGTTCACAAAAACAAACTAAACATTGCTTCCATTAAATAAAACCAGTTTAGTCTTCATAAATTGCACAACAAAAAGAAATGGCATTGAAGCATCACAGTTCTAAGTACAAAAAACATCGGTGTTATCATAAAGCCAAGTAATAATAATCTGAAGTCACAACTCATATTTTAACACAGAACTGCCATGCCGAGTAATTTAGCTAAAGGTTGGGGTCAACGTCAGATTGGTTGGCAACTTCCAGCTCGTGACTTTGTTTTTCTTTTTTCATTTAAAAACGAAAAAACAAGCAAAGCATAACATAACCCAAAAAGAACAAAAATGAAAAATAGGATTCCTTTTCTTATAGTAATTAAGAAAAGGGATTCCTTTTACTCGGATTCAACCAAAGAAAGCCTGTGAATATGAATGATTAACATATACAAGACTTGAATCCAAGATAGTAAGAGCAGGACAATGGTACGAACATTATATAACCAACTTGACTTTATCTTATCTAAAAGAGAGAATAGCTTATCTCTTTTGTGCTTTCCTCCTCCTAGATTGTGCCTTTTGCCACTTCTTTCTGGAAACAAGTTTACTCTTTGGCTTCAATTTTAACTCAGGAGAGAACTTGTAGTTCGGATCTCTCATGCGTGCTTGTATGTCCTTGAAGAACTGCATATTCAGTTTTTTAGGCCCCCCTTGTCTCAGCTCTGCATACTCTGGTCCTGAGACAACATTCTCAAATGCTCCAATTAGAATATCTATATCACTCATGACCTCCCACACATTGGTGTATCGCCCATCAGGACCCTTCTTTAACTTCTTCAAAGCATTCTCAACTGCAAGCTTCCTTGCTTTTTTTCCTGGGGACAACTCTTCAGGTTCCTGTTCAGATTTCAGTAACTCAGAGATGGTCCGGTACTTGGGCATTTCTTCAAACTCGAATAATTTATCTATGTATTTGTCACTACTTTCATTTGGGTAAGGTTCTGTAGGAATATCATCATCACTATCCATTTCATCACCAGTCCACAGCGTCTTCTCTTCATCGCTGCCAGACCAAACACTTCTTAACTCATCACTGTCATCAGCATCTATCAGATCTGAATGCTCTTTAGCTTGCTGTCTTACTTTCCGAATTTCTTTCTTAAGACGGCTTTCTGAGTCCTCTTCTCCACCACTTTCATCCTCACTTCCAGTCCACAGAGTGTTATCTTCTTCCATCTCTTTGGCCCAAGCTTCTCTGAACTCTTTGTTCCCTGGTATTCCACTTCCAAAGAGATCATATTTCTTGGGTCCACCACGAGCATATGATCTCAATCCTGCAACATTTAATTCATGAGGTCAAAAGGATCCACACCATAAAACTATCGTTAACAGCAAGTTTGGGGTCAATAGAACGTTTCTTATGAATTTGGTCATATGCTATGTTAGAACCAAGAAAAACTAGGCATGGAGTTAAGAGACAGAGGATCTTGGTTAATTTATGAGGCAAAAAACTTGCGTCATAAACTAACAAGATGATAGGAGAATCTCCTAATAGCATAAAACTCTGGCGACACAGCAGAGGGAGTTATCCAACATGAATAACTTCTTTGTCCACAGAATCTGACTCAGCCTTTCTGGCTTCCTACGCCTACTATATATTAACAAGGGACTCCTATCATGTTATTATGTTGAACCTCAAATTTTTGCTTCCCTCAAGAATTTATTGCACACAAGATATAGTTCTTTTTTTTTTTTTTTAAAGAAAATCTTACCTTGAAAATTCAACAGAGACCCATTCTTACAACAACTCTGTAAAGCAATGGGGTTCACAAAGTGTTTCTGACCTGTAAGGAAGACATACAAGAGGAGGTTCAGCTAATGCCAATGAAATATGATGGAAACCAATAAATCTTCACACAAGTGTGCATGAGAAGAACCCTGGCCTTGGAGTATTGGCAGCCATTGTGATTTTGCAGGCCTTAGAATACATGAGAGAAAGCTAGTGCGGAAGCAAGACCTCCAAGCCATTACTTGCTCAATAAATAAGGTTCAGGAGCTCCAAACTCTTCAATGAAGTAGGTAAACAAGAACTCTTAACAGTCCCTGGGAGTCAGATTGGAATATCAATAACCTTTTGCATCTATGAAATTATTTACTAGGTTTACAAAAAGTGATTGATCAAGCTAATTATGGATAGAAATATTAGCAAGTTGTTAGAAATATGGGAGTAAATTATCAACTTGAGGCGCGTTTAGTATCACTGTTTTTAATGATATTTCATCTACAAGAGTATGCATCACTTAGGACTCAACAGCAGGAATTATCAGAATAAATTACCATCCGTGTGATATAGACGAAAGATCAGAATTTCAAATTCTCAATCATCCCTCTCCTTTCGCTTCTCCTCCCCTCCGATTACGATAAGCCGAAAACCTTCTGCTTCCACCGCCCCTTCCAACGCCTAGATGCTCCTCCACCGTAAACAAGGTTGCCGGGTCTTCTCCGTCAAATCTCTCCAAGAAGAGCTGGAGAGGAAAGGGTCATTAAGCATGGAGAGGAGAGAAGAGGGAGAAGAGGTCGTAGATGAACCAAGAAGAGCTGGAGTAGGAACCCGTCGAACTCCCCTGGTCCTTCGTCCTTCTCTGTTCTTACCTTTCTGCGGCTGCTTTCTCACTCTGTGTATTGTTCATTCCCCTTCTACTGTTTTCTTTTCCTCCTCAGCCGCGCCTCCGTCTCCCGCCCCCGTTCTTCAGCCGCATTTCCCTAATAAGTAATAACTGGAAATTATAAATTATAAAATGCTCCTTGAGTCATTAATACAGAACATAATTAATTAATTTAAATAAATTAAAAATATTGGTTAAATTGGTTAATATGATATTTTTTAATATAAATTTTTTAATTCTTTTCTTCTTTGTACTATTTGATTATTGTTGGAAAAAACATCAATAAGGTTAATTTAGAAAAAAATTATTAAATATAAAGAATACGTCTAACACTCTAATTAGTTCCTATATTAAGATTAGGGGAATAATAAAATTACTAAACCACCCTTAATGTCCCCAATACTTTTTTAACAAAAAAGAATAAAAGAAATAAAAGTCAACATATGTTATCAAAAAAAAAGCCAACATAATAAAAGGGAAAATCTCACTTGAGTCCCACAGAAGGGACTTTATCAAAAATAAGTCTCAAAAGATTCAAAAAAATCAGTTGAGTCTTTTAAGCCTAAATTGAAATTAAGTTTGACAGCAAAATGACAAAAGCAACCCTGAGTAATAAAAGAAGAAATAGATGGATGAAAACAATCAAACCCATTGGCCATGTGCTCTGCTGTCTCTTGGTCAAGAATGCAAGGTTGATTATTCTCCTTTTATAAGAGGTATAGTCAAATTTTTCATTTTAGAAAGTCTCATCTTATTGATCTAAATTGTTAAAAAGTTGTAGTTTGAGATGAGCTTGTAGTGTGAGGAAATGGGTATGGAAATAATAGGGTTATTTGATAGGGTGTACAGTAGAAATGTATCTTGCTTGTTTGGACGAATGGGTAAAAATGATGGACGTGGATGGTATTAAATTGATCTGTCCAGAAAAAAGGTGTACCTTTGTGTTGTGAAAATGCAAATGTTATGTTGTAAATACACTAGTGATAGTTGTAAAGTTATAACTAGTTAAAGTTTTGCTAAGCAATTGAAATTTACACAAGTACCATTATGAAGTGGGAGTTGTGAATTTACATATATACCATTGTCATTTTTCTATTCTTTATTGCTATAATCCATATCTTCACTTATAACTTACTTATGAGTACTTGAAAAGTATGAGCTGTAAAATTTCATTTGTATAGATTGTCATTTTCTATTTTTTGTTGTCAAAAAATGTATCCCCAATTATAACTTACGTTTGAGCACTTACAAGTACTTATGAGATAGCTGTAAATTTCCACATGTACTATTGTCATTATTCTATTCTGTATTTCTAAAATGCATATCTTTACTTGTAATTTATTATGAGCACTTGAAAAGTACGAGTTGTAAACTTTCACACACACACACACACACACGTTGTTATTATTTTTATATTATTTGTTATTAAAACATGTACCGCCACTTATAACATACTTACACGAGCACTTGTGAAGTGAGAGTTGTGAATTTTCATGTATACTGTTGTTATTTTTTTAATTTTTTGTTGCTAAAACGCATATCTCCACTTGTAACTTCCCCATATTTTTTTTTTGCAAACTTGTAGCTTACCTATATGATTATGTAAATTGGGATTTATAAAACGAAAATATCATTTCACTGCATCACTTGTTTTCTATTTACATTGTACAGTTAGAAATACTACTACAGAAAACATGTCATTGCAATAAAATGACTATTTCTTTACGCACATTATATTCCTGTATAGTTTAACTAATGATTGGCTATTCTTTCCCCTTGCTCTGTGCAACTAGATTTCATCCAGCCGTATGGGATGAGTCACAAGCCCCTGAATAAGTTAGGCTTTATTACATCAAGTTGTTCCTATATCGCGAGTCCTCTGATTAATAAACCCATATGTGCAACATTGTTATCAAAATAATATAGTACCTCCGGTCATTAATATAAGAGCTGGTTTGATTTTTAATTTGGCTTTAAATATAAGATTTTAATTCATTTTGCTTCTCATGCTTATTTATTTTTTAAAAAATAGTCTTTATAGTAGTTGTACATGTTAAATGTTCAATCAAATCGTAGTTTTAGCTAATAATACCTTCGATCCTTAATATAAGACTTTGTTTGATTTTTATTTTGATTCTAAATATAAGACCCTACTCCACTTTGTCTTTAATATTTATACATTTTTTTTAAAATAATCCTTCTAATAATGATAGTTCTAGCCAACACATTTGATTAACAAGGATATTTTAGGAAAGACAACACCTATTTATTACAAATAACTAACTTAACTTATTTTTTCAGTTTCCTCAAATTAGTCAACTAACTCTTATAATTAGAACTGGAGGTGGTACACGAGAAGCAAAGGCATTTTAGAAAAAACAATACCTAATTATTATAAAGGATAATTAATCTCCAACTCCTTATAGTTCCATTGATTTTTAATGAGATTCTTATAAAATTTTTCTTTTATCAGATCCTTTTACTTTCGTGTGTTTTTATGAGGTCCTTCTTTTTTTCTTTTTTTTATAGGTCCTTATAGTTTCACTTATTTTTTTAATTAGGTGCTTTGTAGTTTTTAAAAAATTATTATTAACTTTATTCTTTAAAATTAATTTTATTTTTAAATTAATAATTATATAATTGGACAAAATAATTAATATAATCATTTAGTAATTAATAAATAATCAGAATAATATATACTTAAATATAAATTATTTATAATCATATTTTAATTTTAGAAAAAAATTATTATTATAATTTGAATTTTATAATTATAAAAATTTGAATTGAAAAAAATAATGTATTGGAACTAAAAAAAATTTAACATAATGTTACCAATGATTTATTATTTTAAGATGTTATTATTTGTAAAATAAAGAACAAAAACTACAAGGACTTAATAAAAACAAGTAAAACAATAAGGACCTGATAAAAAAAATTATATGGACCTGATTAAAAATATATAAAAGTATAAGGACCTGATAAAAAGAAAAAAAATTATAAGGATCTGATTAAAAATATATAAAATATAAGGACCTGATAATAAAAATCAGTTAAAACTATAAGGACTTACATATTAATTATCCCTATTATAAATAACTAACTCAACAATTTTTTAGTTAATTAGTTTTATATTATTAAGGATTGAAGGTAATATATGTTTACAAGCACAGTCTGGAACTTCTAACCATATCTCTTGCATCGCCACACTTCGTGAATAGTTACTTAGTAAAACTTCAACAAAAAATAAATTTACAGCTACCATGAGAATATTTACAACATAACATTTGGATTTTCACAACACAAAGTTACATTTTTTTTTTCCTGGACAGATCAATTCTTCCATATCTATCCCTTTCACCCATTTGTTAAAACAAACCAGATACATTTCCGCTATCCACCCTGTCAAATAACCCATTATTTCCATGCCCATTTCCTCACACTACAAGCTCATCTCAAACTACAATTCTTAACAATTTGAACCATTAAGATGAGACCTTCTAAAATGAAAATTCAGACCTTACCTCAGTTCGATTGCGTAACTCAACAAAGACGCGACTGGATAGAGTAGAGTGGTGCGATTTGGGATTGATTGCGAAACTCAAGTTTATACTACAAAAACTGATTGCAAAAAGAGAATAACCGACCTCGCGTTATTGACCAAGATATGGGAGAGTACATGGCCACCGAGCATCACTCGCATTTGTGATTACTTTTATCCATCCGTTTCTTACTATCTCCAGTCTTAAATATAAGAACTAGTCGACTAATTTGAATAAATTAAAAATAAGTTAAATTAATTATTTGTAATAAATAGATGTTGTCTTTTTTAAAATATCCTTACAAATCAAGTTTATGGTTAGAACTACCATTACTAAAAGTATTATCTTAAAAAAAATGAATAAGTATAGAGACAAAATTGATTAGGGTTTTATTTATGACCAAAATAAAAGTCAAATGAGGTCTTATATTAAAACCAGAAGTAATATTTCATTACTCAGAGTGCTTTTGTAATTTTGCTATCAAACACAATTTCAGTTCACGCTTAAAGAACTCAACTGATGATATTTTGAAGCTCTTGGACTTAAAGTACCTTGTGGGGACTTAAGTGGGATTTTCCCATAATAAAATAGCACCAGAGAGTCAACTTCAATAAAGGGGTGTTTGACAACCTCCAAACCATGGTTTCAGATGCACTTTTTCATAAAATGAGGATAAATTCCTCCACATATTTACTCCGTAAACCGTACAAGTACTTCTGAAATCATGGTTGGTTTCTATCCAAAACCCCCTAAATCAATATAGTAATCTTCAATTTAACTCTCAAAGTATGCACAACATAAAATAATATTTATCAGACATATGTGCAAAAGCTCAAAATGAAAAATTTAATCATTAACTATTTAAGATTAACCAATTAATTTCATAAAATCTGAAATGGATAATAAAATAAAATATATTCTTCCACACAAAAAATATATCGCTGGCAAATAAAATAAAAAAATTATATTCTAATTAAACTTAATCATTCAAAATTCATTACTAAAAAACTAAGCAAAGAGAATAATCTCTCATACTGACTTCCATACCAGGAAATAAAGTTCTGACATATTACCTCCGGGTTGTAATATAAGACTCTGTTGACTTTTTTTAGTCTTAAATAGAAAGAGCCAATTTCTTGTCTCGTATTTATGTATTTTTTTTTCATTTAGAAAAGATAACACCTATTTATTATAAATAAACTAATTTAACTTTTTTAATAATCTCTTTAAAGTAGTTAACTAATTTTTATAATTAAAACCAGAGGTAGCATTTAGCTAACAACTTCAGAATGGAATGATTAGCTAGAAGATCCCTAGTCATTGATCGGCAGTCAACCAAGCAAGGTTCGTATACCAGGTAGTCAGCCTCATTCCAGCCAAGCAAGTTATCAGGCAGCAGGAAGCACTGGTAAAGATTGGCTCCATTAAGGAAGATAATAATAAATCCGCCAGGCAGGCCCAGCCTGTGGTGAGCCTCTAAACTTTTAGTCATAGATCGACCAACTTTTTTAATCTAGCTAATACTATTATCTC